GGTCAGGTCGGTTGCATATCGTGCTTCACAAATGAATCGTGTGTCACCTGCGACGTACTGTCGCGTGATACATTGACGCGCTGAACGCGCACAGCACAGTTTATTTGATTACGTGAAGATTGCGCGACATATATACGCTACGTACTCACGCAACTAAACACAACTTGCTGCACTATTGTCCGCCAAACTGTCCATTATTGGCTGTTCACATGATGTAAAAAGACATCATGGCTGTTTTACATGACCAGAGAGGAGCTTGAAAGCGATCAGGCCCAATAAGAGAAATGTGTAACTCACTTTTTAGCTCCGTAAACTAGCGCATAATCCACGAGGTGGTGCACATTGAAACTACGCAGCCATGTCCACGAGCGACTTGTCGATGCGCTATGTCCACAGCGTGCGGTTCTATTCTATGCTATGCACCGATCGCTTTCAAGCTTCTCTCTGACATGACCAACGATAGCCGCCGTAGGGGCACGGGGCCATAAGTGCAAAGAAGAAGAAGAAGATAGCCGCCGTTTTGACAACACACGCAGAGTTGCCAACATCGAGTAATTAATATGTGTATCGAATCGTCAGAAAAACGAAAAACAACTCTCTTCCAAAGTATATTTTTTGTTACTTGAATTTAAATGTCACATGCAGATTTTTCTGTATATTTTTCGATGTAATCAAACTCTCAAAACAGAAATTGATTCTTAAAAACGTAATTCTCAAGATGTTGCCATCCTGAAGCGTCACAGTTGCGTTTACAAACATTTACAAATTTGATATACTGAGAGAAGTGAATAAATTGCGTTTACACATATATATATGTAGTAAGTAACACACGTTATATGTAGTAAGTGTAAATAGATAAAAAGTATTTATATAGACCATACATCTCTTTTAATTTACTTATAATATCTCTTTTGCAGATTTTTCATCAATTGTTATTAAAGTCAAAAGAGGCAATGTCATAAAAAGAAATGCTACTTGCAGAAAATTATGTGATGACAAATCCAATGCTGTTTTATATGTACTGATTTTACATTTGTGTCTCAGTCAAATATGATATCTTCTGGAAAATTGACATTAGCATCCAAAGTCTTCGGAGATCAATGCATGGAAATGACATGTAGAAAGCCAGTGAAAGATTGTTATTGTTATTCCGAGATGAAAAAAATGTGCCAAAGATTATCGAAACTCCCACAGAAATGCGCATCGTCTTGCCATTGCACAAGTCAATCCGAGTCTACTTCTTTTGTCAAAGAAACTGACGAAATGTTAGTTCCACCGATTAGCTGCGAAACATTCAGACAAATTCAAAGAATTAACTACATACCCAAATCCCAATTTCTTCTTAGAGTACAGAATAAGATTTGTGAGTTACAGTCAGGAAGTCAAAGAAATTGTCTGCGAATGTGTCCACGATCGTTTAGTTATCACAGATTTATGGCAAATGGAAGAAGAATGCAAGACATTTGGNATGGGAAGACAGCAATGCCAAATGAGCGCAAGCATGTCGATGCGAAGCAAAAATCGCGAATATCACCGAAAACGCCTGCAAATTCATTAGTGAGCGAATCCGATCATGACAATACTGTTTGCGCTTCGAGCGTGAGAACTTCACAAGTATCTTCGCAGAACCTGGTAAAATCAACATTACGGAAAACTATTAAATCCAGAAGACAAGTATCGGAATTGAGCAAAAGTTTGTTGTCAAAGTCATCTATTCGAAAAAACAACCGTAAACAAGACTGTTTATGTGCAAAGATGATCCGCAATCAAGGTGATGTGGAACATATTGCAAAAAGAGTTGAAGATCAATTACACACCATTGATGTTCCGGAACGTTTTAAGGAAAATTATCGATGTTTAAAGTGCGACGATAAATTCGTGGATCGGAAGGTGCAGGATCTGCGAAGATTTCGAGAGCAATATTATTTCGAGACACACGGCTCGAGTCACACTTTGGCATCATCTAGATCGTCTGGATCATTGGAACAGTATTTTCTCAATGATCGATTGTTCCCGGAACCAGTAGGTAAGATTCANAGACGTGACTTGGTCGTGACGATGCCGCCATGTGTAACAACACAGAAGAAACGTATCCATTACTTTCCCAGACACGTGATACGACAGGAGAAGGACATTTACAATTCACATTATAGACTTAAACAGTGCCAAACAAATTGTCCTCTCACCGGCCACGCCATTGATCTTGGAGCTGTGAAAATCAAATTGCCGGTAGATAGTTTGGCTTTGAAATATCAAAAAAAAAACTTGATACGATAAAATTTTGACATTTTTGTCATGTGTATGTACATGCGTATTTGTTTCGATACTTACTATTTTCTCTTTTTTGTCTCTGGAGTGTATCTACATATCTGTGTGGGAAGGAATGTGTGTGTGTAAGTTACAATTGTACCTTGAAAAAGTTTATTTTGTAAAGGAAGTAATAAAAATAGTATGATATTTACATGTATTTAACATAAAATATACTTTTGACTAGTATTTAATATACGTTGATTAATATATCTATTTACTGTTTGTAGCCACGTGTGATTTTATTTTATAAATATGTATTACTTTGGCATATACTATGTGTGTTATTTCCTTGACATTTTATAAACTTGTTTTTAAAAAACCGGTTTTAATATATTCTAATAAGTTCATTACATTTACATTAACGTAGTGAATTATTTTTAATATTAATTTTATGAAAGAAACGTTTGGTATATATTGCGCAGATGTTAAAATGTTTCGACTTCTAATTTTGATTAAAGTTGTTTTCACAATAATTTTTTCAAAAGAATAAAAGGATTTTTTATATAAGTACGAGATGCAAATTACTTTATATTTAAAACTATTTTGCATATATACATTCAACACTACAAGTTGCATTATTTCTCTTAGTTGGAAACTATCAGAGATTTATTTTGATTATTTGTTAGATTTGTCGGTTTGTAATAATTAAATTTAGTGTGTCAAGTCTCAAATAGCATAAAAAAATAGCACAGAAACTATAGACTACTTTTTTCTTGCTTCTTCTTTCACCGTGAATTTAAACAAAATATATTAATCTGTTCCCTTTGAGTTATTATCTTTTTTATTTCTCTGAACATCAACAAAATCTTGTACACTTGTAGCGCATTTAGAAATCATACATTTAAAAACTTGATCTCTGTAGTTTTCAACGAAAAAATAAATCTTATGAATAATGTAGTTTCGCTTTTCGGTTTGTCAAACGGTCAATAACAAGTCATTCATAGTAGGAGAAAACATTTAAATAAACTGCTTTGCATATTCTTCTTCAGTCTGTATCCGATCATTTTCGAGTGAAAACGTCTTTTTTTCTCAAAGTTACATAAGTCATTATTAGAAAAATAAAATTTGGTGATAATGAAGACAATAATTATTCTCTTAACAGTCGTTGTAATCACCACGACGCTGGAATTACGTGAGTATTATATAAACAATTACTATTAACACTTCTTGTGTCGCACTGAAGCCAGTTGTTTGCTACTTTCACTTTAATTAAATTCGTCGAAATTTGCATTAAAGAAAAAATCGAGAATCATCATAAAATCAAACGCGCGACTTTATTAGATTTGCAGCAAGCGACGTGTTGCTTTTCACTTGATTTTTCTTCGTCACTTTACAGCTAGCAATATTACACTTTGTCATAAGTCAGATCCAAAAGTATTAAAATGTCTTGGAGAAGCCACCGAAACTATGATGAAAATCGTAGCCAATGGTAAACAATGTTATAGTGTGATAACTGTCTCTTACGAAAAACCTGAAAAAACTACGTGTATTTATATTTAGGTCTGAAGGGCTT